TTTCGTGACGGCCGCCGCCGACGCCAAGAAACAGACCAAAGCGTTATCACTGTTTAAATTCAACCTTTGGTTCTATGGCTACGAAAAGGGCAAACTCGAGACTCCCATCTATTCCGATGTCGCCATTGCTCTCAAGAGATGGAAAGACATGGAAATCAAGATCTATGTGTTGAGCAAAGGTTGGGTGGAGTTCCAGAAGAAGATCCTCTCAAAGACCAATCACGGAGACCTGAATCTGATTCTCGACGGCTGTTACGACAGCAGCGAAGGCCAGCTCAACAATAAGGAGACGTTTGTCAAATTTTTGGCCAAATTCAATGCCGTTCCCGACACCACTCTCTTCATGACCAAGTCTGGAGAGGGCGCCCGCGCCGCTCAGGGGGCGTCGGCCAAAGTGCTACTATTACTGACGCACCGCAAGAATATCGACAAACTCACCGACGAGGAGAAGGCTTTGCCGCGGATCAGATCGTTCGACGAACTCCGGTTCCCCGATATGGCACCCGAAGAATTACCGATGGCTTCTGCTTCACACTAGTCATTGAGAGATCCAATCATTTGTTTCATTTCTGTTTCTCATCTCTCGCTTCTTCTCGTCTTTTATTTAAAATTATTTTTCGATAAAATAAACTAAAAGTTTGTCTCAATTGTGGTTCCCTTTCCTTTCTTTCTATTCAATTAATTACTCATTTTTATTAATCGTTATTTAATTATTCAATAAGTAATAAAACTTGTAATTAAAAGTCTAAAACTTTCTGATAACTAATCGCCATTTAGAGTCCGTTTTTAATGTATAATTTTTATTGACATATCATTGATATCTATAATTAGGTTAATATTTACATGTTTTCAATTGATTTTAATTTTAGTTTTAATATCATTAAAAATATGTGACAAAACAATAAAACAAATACAATCTTAAAAATACTTGTGAAGAACACCACTCATGTACTGAGCGTTCATCAGATCCAGTCTTGACTGATGGTATCGATAGAGATTTGGGCACTCAATGGAAGTGCAGAGTTGGCTGCCGTCGGCGCTGCCGCTACACTGACGACAGGCGTTGAGCACGTGTTGGTACGCGAGTTCAGCCGTACGGATGTCGGCGCAGACCGAACGGATCGACTCGTGCGGCCGCTGCCGACACTCCGGACAAAAGTCGCCGCCCTTTGAGTTGGCGTCGCATACAATACACTGAGCGGTGTTGAAGAACTGGGGTATAGTCCGCGCCGGAGCCGTCTTCTTATCCCTGGCCAACAGGTATTGATAGCGGTTATAGTGAATGCGTTTAGGCATCTCTCGGTACCAGTGGTTCACGTCGTGACCCATCAGCTCGAAGACCCGGTTCAGCGCCGGTACGATCGCCCTCTCGATGTAGTACTGGGCGTTCAGACGCAGCGACGGGTCGTTAATCACGTCCAGCGGCTCTTTGATCAGCTTATAGATGGGTTCGTTCGGCGGACCGCAGATCACGACATACGGCACCCGTTCCTTGTGTTTGGGTTCGGCGTACGGGTCGACTGCCAGCCGACGGGCGGCGATCTCTTTGGAGGGCACGTGTGAGCGCTCGCTATAGTTCTCAACGCCCCGATACTCGCGGGCGAACACAAAGTCGTTCAACACATTCACTCTCCCGTCTAATACCTTCTGGAACTGACGGTACAGATAGTGCTTCACTCCGTTCACGTCGTCTCCGGTGTCGAACAGTATCCGAAGGGACTTCTCCAGCATTTTGGCCACCGCTGGACACGTGTCTCGCCGTACGGTCTCAATGCCTTTGGCGTCAAACGTGGGTTTCGACTGATCGACGGACTCGTAGCTGAAGCCGACGTATCGTTTCTTTGTCTGCAAAACGCACGGCAGGTATACCTTCTCGAACTTGAGTCGCACGGGCTTTGGGTTGGTCTGAGTGACCGCTTCGGCGATCTCGTGACCCCTTCTGAAGGCCTCCTCTTTGGACAGACCGGGGAAGTGGATGAAGAGGCTGTCGGTGTCTCCGTAGACCACTTTACCGCCCCATTCGGGTGTACTGTCGACCAGATTTATGGCTCTCTCCAGTGTTTCCCTGCCTTTGGCGACAATACTGTCGGCGACGTCGACGCACGGCATACGACCCGAGAAGTTGGCGCTCGTATAGCCGTACGTGAAGTTTGCGATCATTTTAAGGCCCAGTTGTCTGGCGTCCAGTTTCCGGTGCAGACCTTTACTCGGATTCTGTTTCTTATTATTCATTTTCATCGCATTCTTAACCATAATTCTTGTCTCCAGAATCTCATCCAACATTCTGTTGAACAAATTGGTATTAATTAACAAACTATTAGTCAATTATTGTCAATGGGTTCACAAACTTCGGTAGTATTCCTTTGCGGACATAGTCTTTGAGAAAAACCACTCCATTGGGAGAGATGTGGATATCGTTGCGATACTTATATAGCAATTGCTTTCGCACTTCAAGACCAATGCATCCAAACTCTGAGAACTCGGTTTGTCTGCAAACAAGACAAACAATAAATTAAAAACAATTACAAAATATAACAATCAAAATGGTAAAATGTCAATTACTCAATGAGCTGATCCACTCGTCCCAAACACGTGGAGTAACAGTAGTTATAGGCGATCATCATCGAGGGGTAGAGGCTCTGGAAGTCCAACACCACAACGGGATCGCGATAATAGCCGGAATACGGCTCCAGAATTAGTGGCAAAAACTCTGGCGCCCGTTGAGAGTGGACCTGTCGTGGACTCGGAGACACTGGTATGAGACCAGCGGCGCGAGACATACGCAACATTATGGACTCGACCCGAAACTGCGACCCACGGGAGTACACCTCATGGAACTGAATGCCGAACAGTCGGGCCAACTCGCCGTTCTTCGCCACAAAGTCCAACCGATCCAACAGTCGCAGCGAACCCACCGCACGGGTCAGGTAGTAGTCGATTACCCGCCGCCGCGAGTACTGATCCGCCCGATTGGCGTACAGTCGGGTGAGTGTCTCATAGCTAAACGCCGGCACCCGTTCGTGAAGGACATGGAAGTGGACGTTCTCGTAGTTGTATTGAGTGAGTGTCACCTCATGTCTGAGTATTTGCCACAAATTGAGAGTCACTCGACCGCACAGTTCGCACTTGACGTTAGCCGAGCCGTCGACGTTACGGCCGAACCGATCGTCGGTCACCCGCGACAACGCTGTGGCGATCGACACGTTCAACACATTCGCCCGCTTCATAACGTAACCCCAGGACAGAGTGTCCGCTTTGTAGCCCACGATAATGTCCGGATCAAAGCGTTGGACGAGTTCCGCGAACTTCATTAATAAGATGATCTCGTCGTCCACGTAATCGACGGTCAGCTCCGGGTGGGCGGCGCTCATTGAATGCAAGGCTCGCCGATGCCGAGTGCGCACAGTGTTTGTACTGGCGCTCAACGACTCGACGGTCTCGACGTCCGGCTCGACGGCTATCAAACCGGTCGTATATTTCGGACGCAAGGGATCGGCGTCAGCACCGGTCGGCGCATCGCACGACACGCTATAGAATATCACTTCGATTGGATCCGTGTTGGGATCGGGATTGAGTTTAGCGCGAGTCGACGCGTGTATCTCAACGCTCATTGATGTCAAGTACTGACATTCACGGTCTGAGGCGCCGGCGGGTGGGCTCAAGATGTCGTCAACACTACTGAACGCAAACGCATTGGAAAGAGTCGGGCCTTCGATAATGGATTCATTGCGATAAAAAAGAGCTCGATTTTTGGCGGCCATTGAGTCGTGTTTAGTCGCTGAAGAGCAGCTCAGCTCAAAATCTAACTCCTTTTTAGTGGAGTCGGTGACTGTCGGCGAAAATGGTTTACACTTTTGGCTATTCATTGGTGTCGAGTGTTGTTTAAGGTATCGCCGCTGAGATCCGGTAGCGATCATAGGGCTGGCCGTAAAAGAACTGCTGGCCAATGGACTGGATGTCGGATCAAACGATTGACTAGACATTTGAGAATTGATTGTCGATTGAGAGAAATGTTGGGAAAGAGTTTTGTCCGAATAGAAGCTATAGATGCCGTCGTCGTAGAACTGCTGGCCAATGGACTGGATGTCGGATCAAACGATTGACTAGACATTTGAGAATTGATTGTCGATTGAGAGAAATGTTGGGAAAGAGTTTTGTCCGTTATCTTCGATATCTACGGCAGCAGCAGGCAGAGTAACAAGCGCGAGAGTAAGTTGCCTGAAAGCCCATAAAGCAGGCCGTAAAGTTACAGTAATAGACTAACATAAAATACTAGCGAAACTCGCCGAGCGGAGGCGATGGTGGAGGAGGTATGCGTGCGATCGGCGGTCGCATTGGTATCAATTGATTGTTGGCAATAATGTTCGCAATTGTTGTTTAATAAAGAAAATTGTTTTTGGTTTTTAATAAGAGATGAAACGGAAATAAATTGTGAATTATATGGATAATTAATTTTCAGATCGCGTTTGAAATGATTTATGTCTAAACGCGTTAAACAAATGGTAATCTTTTTATTGCAAAGTGACTGAAGATATAGTAATTTCGCGGAACCAATGAGCGATGTCTTGGCGAACGCCTGGCGGTCGGTGTCATTGAATTCCGGGGGATGATGCGCGGCCAGCGCCGCCGAGGCAGAGTTGCCAGACTGTCATTCGTAAAGCGCCGGGTTGACAGCGTCTGTACGTAGACCTTCACTAAATCCTTAAAATTGTTGCTGAGGTAATTATATCACAGGTATGCGTTCATCTCTGGCCACTTTGTGGCCATCATTTAGTAACGCATCCGACACTACGTCCGCGATCTTTCTCTTCGCAGAGCCCACTGTTGCGGACATCTCTTCGCTGCGGGAGCCCTGACTCAATTGATCCAACGTTTCGTTATCATTGGACGTGCAGTTAAATTGATTGCCTTCCGAGTGGAAGGAGTCGTCGTCGAAGATGCCATCGAATTGCGGTATATTTGGATTGTATGGATAGTAACCCATATATGAGTTGTCAAACTCACAGTCGGGCGCCGACTGGGGCTGAGCCGCGACTGACGTGTCGATAGACGGCATATTGTATTGCATTTGTTGAACCGGCAACTGATGGCTCACTGCCGGCACAGTTTGCGGCCAACTCTGTTGCGCGGCGAAGAGGTTAGCGTTGGGATAGTGACCGACTGTGTTGTGCGGCACCTGTAGTGTTGGCACAATTGGATTCTGAAGTGGGTTCTGGTGGTACTGCGGCTGACTCTGAGCCGGTGCTGA